CAAGTATCACGTATCACATATCATATTACATATCATGTATCACATATCATATATCATATTACATATCAAGTATCACGTATCATATATCATCTTACATACCAAGTATCACGTATCACATATCATATTACATATCATGTATCACATATCATATATCATATTACATATCAAGTATCACGTATCATATATCATCTTACATACCAAGTATCACGTATCACATATCATATTACATATCATGTATCACATATCATATATCATATTACATATCAAGTATCACGTATCATATATCATCTTACATACCAAGTATCACGTATCACATATCATATTACATATCATGTATCACATATCATATATCATATTACATATCAAGTATCACGTATCATATATCATCTTACATACCAAGTATCACGTATCACATATCATATTACATATCATGTATCACATATCATATATCATATTACATATCAAGTATCACGTATCATATACCATATTACATATCAAGTATCACATATCATATATCATACATCACATATACCAGAAATAAACGAAGAATCGATAAAATCATCAATGTTACTTTAACTTCGAAATTGGACAGCGCTGCAATACGAGCGCAAAACTGGAAGTAGAACTTCAATGTCCGAATTTGCTTGTGTTTCGAACAATAGACAAACCTGGCCAAGCTTCGATCTCGTACGAGCCCCCGCAGGTAATAAAGAAGCGGCCATTGACCATCACGTGCTTCGTGCTGGACCCAGGACGACCAAAGGTAGTTGGTTACAAATGGTTCCGAGGCCTTCACAGACTTCCGGATGAAAACGATGCTACCCTTACCATAGAGTCCGTTAATTTGGAAACTGAAGCGAACTTTACTTGTCTGGCTTACAACGAGGCCGGCGACGGGGACCCAGCCACCACGTTTATCGACGTGTCTGGTGAGTTGTCAAGTTGCTCGAAAAACTTTTCGATTACCTGTCCAATAAATCTGGTTCGCGTGACATTTTCTGGTAATTATGGATCTAAATCAATGGTACTATTCGAGGAACACGTTCTTTTGATAGTTGGCATTTTACTGACAGCTTTACCAAGTTTCAAATCATTTGTAAAGCAGTTTACGTCAAGTTAAAATATCTTTGAGAACAAGTGTAGCAGCAAGACCCAATTCTAGTATTTATTGTTAGTCACATCTTGTGAACTTAACCTCAGTAGAGTATTTGTTCGCAGTCTTCTATTCGTCTCGAGGTATTGTTTGCTTGCTTAGGTCACTAGGAGACCTTCATACGTCACTCGCATTTCCACCCGAATTTCAGTTAAACCCATAGAAAATTAGAAACTTTCCAATGTCACAAAAGCCCACTCCGCTTTTGTAAAACGTAAAAATTCGAAGACTCTCGAGTCATCAAGTACAAAATAAACTCTGGTCCGAAGTCAAATTTCTGAGATCCACTTATATTCGCTTGATCTAATGATTCCACGCGTCTGATCGTCACTACGCGGCCACATACATAACCCCTTGCAATAACGTGTCCACACTTGAGGCACATAACTGAAACGCGACAAATCTGGCTCATATTTTTACCGCGATTGAATTTCAAGTTTAATTTTAATTACAATCCACTGGTGATCCATATCCAAATATCCCTGGCATTTGAATATTTTTTCTGTTCATTGCACAAATCTGTCGCATTTGAAATAAGTTGAAGGATGGAAACAGTTAAAATGAAAACGACATCTCGAGAGACCTCTGAAAGATTTGAATTATCCTACAAACTTGTACTAGTTCTGTCTAAATAATTTTAGTTGCTTTGAAAAACATAATTTTATTCCTTAACTACCATTTTGCAAGTTAAGTAGTAATTCCTACGAAGATTCTTTGTATAATTTCAGAAATGAACCTAATTAAGATTCTTTTGAAGCTAGTTTTAAATACCTCTGAAAATTCGCAGAAAAATTGTAATTCTTAAAATATTCCAGCGTAACACAAAACGTAACACGGTGGCTCAAAATAATTCTTTCATGGTATTTCGAATTTTAAAATGTATGTCAACGTGCGGATTAAACTAACGATTGGTTGTTATATTTGTTTAACGAGCAAAAATACGGTTTTATGCAACATAAAAAAGTTCAGTTGTTCCCGGCACCATTGTTCTGTGCTGTATCTAAATCAACGATCCGTATCTTGAAAATTCTGCGAATCTGCTTTTCTCTTTTTTCATTCGTCCATTTCGTACACATACATATGCAGGAACGTGTAGCGCGTATATATCCGTCCTTCCATTTTGTATAATATTTCCGCAATATAACGGAAACTTTATCGGACTCGTATCTCGCATTCAAGAAATAAACTGATAATATTATAACGCTGCTCTGTAATATGCAAATAACGTTTCTTGCATATGAATTATATCAGCGCGAAAATTATTATTATTTTCCAGTGTCTTTCGTTTGTTTTAATAATATTGAAACTGGGTTACTTGCACATGTGCAGTTAGGTACATGAATGTCCACATATGCAGTTGGTACATGTATATCCACATGTGTAGTCAGTTGAATTAATATTCACGTATGGAGTTAGAGGCATGAATATCCACATATGAAGTTAGAGACATGAAAATCCACATATGTAGTCAGTTGTATGAATATTCACATATGGAGTTAGGTACATGGACTTCAACATATGAAGATATTTGTATGAACGTCCTCATAGATAGTCAGTTGTATGAATATTCACATGTGGAGTTAGGTACATGAACTTCCACATATGAAGACATTCACATAAGCATCCACATATGAAGTTAAGGACATGAATACCCACATACATAATCAGTAATATTGATATTCACATATGGAGTTAGGTTAATGAACTTCCACATATGAAGATACTTACATCAGCATTCACATATGAAGTTAGGGACATGTATATCCACATACATAATCAGTTGTATGAATATTCACATATGGAGTCAGGTTCATAAACTTCCACATATGAAGATACTCACATCAGCATCCACATATGAAGTCAGGGACATGTATATCCACATACATAATCAGTTGTATGAATATTCACATGTGGAGTTAGGCTCATGAACTTGCACATATGAAGATACTCACATCAGCATTCACATATGAAGTTAGGGACATGAATATCCACATACATAATCAGTTATATGAATATTCCCATGTGGAGTTAGGTTCATGAACTTCCATATATGAAGATACTCACATCAGCATCCACATATGAAGTCAGGGACATGTATATCCACATACATAATCAGTTGTATGAATATTCACATATGGAGTTAGGCTCATGAGCTTCCACATATGAAGATACTCACATCAGCATCCACATGTGAAGTTAGGGACACGAATATCCACATTAGGCAGCTACTCATATGAACATCCACATATGCAGTCAGTTATATGGACATCCACATTATGTTGTTAGGTATATGTACACCTACATATGTAGTTAGTTATATGAATATCTATATAGGCAGCCAAGTACATGAACATCTACATTATGCAGTTAATTATGTGAACATCCACATATGTTCTTAGTTATATGAATGTCCACATATGCTCTTAGTTGTATGAACATCCACATATGCAGTTATATGAACATACATATAACAATTATCACAATGGTTCAATAATCACGATACACCACAAAATAGTCGATCACAAAGATGTATTTGACACGATCAAATTTTATCGATCGATGAAGGTACATTTACCCTACGTTATTGAACCCAACAAGAAAATTCATCAGAATTTCGCTGCGTTATAAATTCAATGAACCTGACACCCTTATCTTGCTCCACGGGCAACCATGCCCTAATGGCATCGAAACGATGGTTCAACCGGTTGTTCGATTGTCAATAGCTGCGCCTGCGTTTATCAAGAAGTTGCTGCCTTATCACGGCTACGTGTACAATTCGCCGAACGTTAGCATCATGTGTTGGGTCGAATGCGCGCCCATCTGCAATATTTCCTGGCTGAAGGGCGGTGTACTCATGGATTTCTCGAAAACGAATCGATATTATCTATCGAACGTAATTCATCCGCCCGATCCACGAACGAACGACTTCGAGAGCATCCAATCGACCCTGGTGTGGAATCTGACTGCTTGGCCAGCTGGTCAACTGGACCGGGTCGAAGACAACGTGCAATTCACTTGCGAGAGCAGCAGTAACGGAATAGGACCTGGGGTCAAGAGCAGCACGCATTTCCACGTGGAATGTAAGTTTTTACTATTTTTATGTGACGAGTTATGTTCTCTTTTTGTGAGACACGCGGATTGTGCTTTTGGTGCAAGGGATTAAGCGTCTGCCACAAAAGCTTTGCTTTGCAGTATTGTATTCGTGCTGGTAATAAATTCATGCAACACGATGATGAACACTAATCCATAGAATACAATGTACCTACAACGTACGTCGAACGGGAAAATTATTCTAATAAATACATATCGCTCTTTGGTCCTCCTATGAACAAACATTTACACACAATTGATATGTACCAGAATACAATCATTCAATTACTGCTTCAGGTTTCAGGAGAATAGCTTCGGTAATGGCGGCGTTTCGAGTAAAATTTTTATATAAACGCGTGTCCGATTATCGACGCGCATCGACGCGTATGGAGCCGCGGCCATATAACCGATAGTCGCCATTGGCCACCAAGGTCTCCGGAACCCTTTAGATTTTTGTCCGTGGATCGATGGAAGCGAAGTTTGCAAAGTAAAAATAAACACGAGAGACGAATTGGTCGTCGCGTTGCGAACAGTGCCGCCCCCGCGAAAGAACGCGAAGATAACCTCAAAAGAGCTGCGCGCGCAATCGCGGACGGAGTTGAAAAGTGTATCAAAGTCGATGGCGGGATTTTTAGTATCGAAGTCGATGGCGGGATTTTTGAACGGTTACTTTGAGCCTTGTATATCTTCGCGTTTTATATCGTTATAAACGCAAATTGGCATTTTTGATACCTTTTGCGAGGCCTATGGTAACGTTCAAACTAGCTCCACATTGATAATGCGACAAGTTTTTATATAAAAATTTTTACTTAAAATTCTGAATTATTATTTTACCAATATTTGTCGTGCTTTTAAAGTATTTACTGTTTCTTCTGAAATGTCCTGAAGTTAATAATATTATAATATTGAAAGACTGAAGTTAATAATAATATAATATTGAAAGACTGAAGTTAATAATATTATAATATTGAAAGACCGAAGTTAATAATATTACAATATTGAAAGACCGAAGTTAATAATATTATAATATTGAAAGATTGAAATTAATATTATTATATTGAAAGATTGAGGTCACCAATATTATAATATCGAAAGACTGAAGTTAATAATATTATAATATTGAAAGACCGAAGTTAATAATATTATAATATTGAGAGACTGAAGTTAATAATAATATAATATTGAAAGACCGAAGTTAATAATATTACAATATTGAAAGACCGAAGTTAATAATATTACAATATTGAAAGACCAAAGTTAATAATATTATAATATTGAAAGATTGAAATTAATATTATTATATTGAAAGATTGAGGTCACCAATATTATAATATCGAAAGACTGAAGTTAATAATATTATAATATTGAAAGATTGAAATTAATATTATTATATTGAAAGATTGAGGTCACCAATATTATAATATCGAAAGACTGAAGTTAATAATATTATAATATTGAAAGATTGAAATTAATATTATTATATTGAAAGATTGAGGTCACCAATATTATAATATCGAAAGACTGAAGTTAATAATATTATAATATTGAAAGATTGAAATTAATATTATTATATTGAAAGATTGAGGTCACCAATATTATAATATCGAAAGACTGAAGTTAATAATATTATAATATTGAAAGATTGAAATTAATATTATTATATTGAAAGATTGAGGTCACCAATATTATAATATCGAAAGACTGAAGTTAATAATATTATAATATTGAAAGATTGAAATTAATATTATTATATTGAAAGATTGAGGTCACCAATATTATAATATCGAAAGACTGAAGTTAATAATATTACAATATTGAAAGACCGAAGTTAATAATATTACAATATTGAAAGACCAAAGTTAATAATATTATAATATTGAAAGATTGAAATTAATATTATAATATTGAAAGATAGAAGTTAATAATATTTTTCTCTAAAGTCCCACCAGAGAACATGACGATCTCGAAGAGCATGATAAACGTCACCGTGGACACGATACCGGAAATGGTGACCTGCAACGCGAAAGCGCATCCGGAAGCCACATTTCGCTGGTTTCGAGAGGGTTCGACGGATACCATCATCGAAGGTCGTGTCCTCGATCTGAAAATACGTGTGCCGAAACGCAGCAACGGAACGTACTACTGCGAGGCATGGAATCGCCATGGAAGACGAAACATTTCCATGATCATGAATGTTCAATGTAAGTAAAGAAACCCGCGAGCTTTCATGTTATTTCAAACGACGCACAAATATCGAGGTTCCCGTGATTTCTGTGCGACTTTTTATGCCACTAAGACGTGATTGATGTTGAAGGGTCGGTTTGAAAATTTTTCAGAATATTCCTCTTTCCAGTAAAATGCTCGCTTTAATGTAGTTATGTAATAACTTTATATTCACTGAATATTTACTGAAACTATTTACTCTTTATTAAAATACAATCTTTTTTAGTATTCTCAATTTTTATTTAACGGTTCTTTGTACAATTTTATCATTCACCTTTCTGTTATTAATTTCTGTTGGAATGCTTAAAATGGCTGACTTCGTGTATTGCAGACTGCAACGCCATCTAGGTTAAACTCATCACTGTTTTGTACAAAGAAATTTTGTTATTTCATCTCAACTTTGTCTAAAAATATGAATTTCAAAAAGTCTGTATGCACCAAATTTTTATGCCACATAGTTTGTTCGAGCTAATTATTACAGTTTGCAGAAATTGATAGGTTCGACAGTCTAAGCTAGTTTCTAGTAAAATAACACTGTCGGATAGTGCTTGATAATATTAGAGTTAAGTGACGCCACGAATTATGTGCTTGCACAAAAAGGGAGCCATTTTCTTGTTTGCGCAGTTAAGCCCGAGTGTCACGTGGAAAAGGAACGAATAGACGGTGTGGATTACGTGGTGTGCTCTGCGGTAGCGAACCCGAAGGAGACCGATTTTGTTTGGTCTTTGAAGAGTGACAATGACACTTTGGAACAAGTTGCCGAACCTCGAAACGGAAAAAGCTACATCCGTATCGATACTTCTGTAACCAATTTCCGGACGTACGTCTGCGTCGCGAACAACTCCATCGGCCAATCGAATCCTTGCGAGGGCAATGTACCAGGTACTTATGAACATATATGTTATAACATAAACATAATCTGTATTATAACATGGTAAACAAAGCTTTTAACATAGGAGACATATTGTTAAACCTTGCAGTAACATAGAATATACTAAACTTTGTTATGAGAGAAATATTGACAAATTTTGTTATTACATAAGAGACATATTGACAAACTTTGTTTTAACATAAGGGACATTAAATCTTGTTATAACGTAAAAGAAGCTTGTTATAACATTATAATAAACTCTGTTGTACTAATAAATTCGGTTATAACATCTTCTATGAACGTAGAAAGTGTCAGTGTCGAATATACGCAAGAGGGGTTTCAAATTTCGCGCCAGAGGCGCCACTGGTGACAAAATGGCGTCCGTTTGATGCACGCGTGCTGAATCTGAAAGTAGGACAAATTGCAGCTGTTTTCTAAATAAAAATACAAAATGGTAGAGGAAAAAGTTGTGTGTCATGGTACCTTCTTTCTGTGACCTTATTTTTTATTTTGACGCATTTATGCACTAATAAAGTGCAGTTATTTATTTTCTAACGCAACGTATAGAACTTATAATTACAGAAAATAATTAATATTAAGAATATCTCCTTAGAGAACAATTTTTGTTAATTTAAATGATTCTTATTATCTGTAAAGGATTTGAAAATTATAACAGAGTCTATAGAAATATTAGAGTGTCTTTTCTTTGAAGGGTTTTGTTCGTAATTTTACCCCTTTGTGAAGGGTTACGTTTTAGATAGTTGTTCGGAATAATGAACTTGTCAATATATTTCAAGGTTGTTAAAATCGTATACGGCTTGTTTGCACGTTAATGCGAAATAAAACGAGGCGATGGAAAAGTTATAGATACGTGGTGACATGAATTTTAAACGGGTTTAGCGACAAACAGAGCTTCGGTGAAACTAAAGTTAAATCTAAATGAGTATTTTCCGTGGTACAAAGTTATTTACATGTTCCGACGTAATTTAAAGCTGTTTTGAGTAAAATCGACTTTAAATTCGATTACTCCTATTGTTCGCTTCGAATTGAACGAGTTCGATGGATGCGTATAAACGCTTTGAAAACCCTCGCCAAAAATGTTCAATAATATCATATATTTTTATTACCGTCTTCTAAATTACATTTTGCGAATTGACTTTTTAGAGAGACATTTTGAATTTTAATGTAAATATTAGATTCTTTCTTTACAGTTTTAGATTTTGACATTGCTGTTAATACCAACATGCAATTTTCTCCAAACATAATCGCTTAAGTAACAATTAAAAGTCGATACGATAAAAATCAATATACCAAAAATTGCTTCGAGCGACCCAAATTGAAATTTTTCAGCTCAAACTTTGAGAGGATTCTGTTTACACCATAAATTTTTAGAGAGCAAAAAACATGTTGAACCACCCACTAATGTTTAATATTAAATAAATTTAGAAATTTCGATCGTTTGTAAATGAATTTCCACGTTTTCCGCTTACCTCAAAACGCGCGAGATACATTTGATTCAACAGCGTTCCTACCACGTTCAATACACCTATGCTCAGACCGTACGAGTTGCAGAGTAACAAGTAGGATTTGTTTTTACATAATCTTTTAACGGGTTCTATGAAACCTTCGTCCATTTCCATTTGATTCAACTGTTGCATAGCTCGGGTTTTGCTCGGTGGCAGTTTCGGGTTTTCTTCGAACACTGTGTACAGTTAATATTCGTGAAACGGTTGCGGTTCAATTATATTTAATACAAACTTATATTACGTTGCGTTAACTTGTAAAATTTATAATATTAATAATACAGTTTTTGGAGGGTGGACAAAATTTTATATACACTACATGTGTCCTCAATTTTGAACCACCATGTATGTAACATACTGTTGGTATCGTTAATTTTGAGCCACCATATGTGTAACATATTATATGCAGCTTCAAGTTTGAACCACCATATATGTAACATACTGTATGTGTCTTCAATTTTGAATCACCATATATGTATCATACTACAGGTAGCTTCAATTTTGAACCACCATATGTGTAACATACTATATGAACTTCAAATTTGAACCACCATATATGTAACATACCATATGTATTTTCAATTTTGAACTAGCATGTATATAACATACTACAGGTAGCTTCAATTTTGAACCACCATATGTGTAACATACTATATGAACTTCAAATTTGAATCATCATATATGTAACGTACCATATGTATTTTCAATTTTGAACTACCATGTATATAACATACTACAGGTAGCTTCAATTTTGAACCACCATATGTGTAACATACTATATGAACTTCAAGTTTGAACCACCATATATGTAACATACCATATGTATTTTCAATTTTGAACTACCATGTATATAACATACTACAGGTAGCTTCAATTTTGAACCACCATATGTGTAACATACTATATGAACTTCAAGTTTGAACCATCATATATGTAACGTACCATATGTATCCTCAATTTTGAACTACCATATATGTAAAATACTATATATATCTTCAATTTTGAATCACCATATATGTAACATACTATATGTGTCCTCAATTTTGAAGGACCATATTTGTAACATACTATATGTATCTTCAATTTTGAATGACCATATATGTAACACATATGTATCTTCAATTTTGTACCACCCTATATTTTAACATAGCAAATACTATATTAAACAAAATTTGAGAATGTACTACTACGTCACTGTATTCAATATACAATTATTAGTGAAACGATGCAAATTCTTATCGGCAAAAATAGGTCATGTCTAAATTATATAGACAAAATACTTCAAAATCCCTCCACTGGGACGTTTATCCTCCTGTTCCTTAAAGTATTATCATTTCTTCCCGGAAGATGCAACTTTACCCTGGAGAATATGAATATCCGTGCGATTAAATAAATCCACTATAAACATTTTCCGGAGCAGTTATTAAAATTTTCATAGAAATTGCTACGTTGTGTCTCATAATTTAGCATATCGAGGATGTATGTACGTGAGGAGATTGGTGCTGAAAATACTTGAACCTTCGAAGAGCAAAATTACACATTAAAAATGAAATTTTATAATTAATATCGTAGCTGTATTTCAAAACACTTTTACAGACATTTTTTTGATATTTTATATAAATTTTATATTTTCAAATTAAATAGTTTATTTAGGATTATGTATTTGATTGATATGTCTACTATTTTTTTAAATATTAACAATGATATAAATTTTTTTCTTAGCTCACCATGGACATCGAAGTAAGTTTTCCCATAATTATTCAGCAAAACCTTGATTCGATTTTTAATGACTAGTTCACCTAAACTATATTTTACAAGTTTAACTAAAATTGCAAGATTCCATCTTAACTGCAAGATAATTTTGACAACATTTAAAAATTATAATAAAATCTTAGCAATACATAAAAAATTGTCTATAAAAAAATAAAAATAGTCGTTGAATAAATGAAATTGTTCACTCTTCAACCTTGATGTAACTCGATTTTAAAATTAATAAAAACAGTGAATTTTACAAGTATAAATTGTAAGAACATTTCATACGCAGGAAGTCAGTAATAAAAATGCTGCGTGATAAAATATGGCGTAACAAGGGAACAGATTGAATGCAAAGCAAACAGAGGGGCATGAAAATTCTCGCTTAAAATCGGTCGCCTTACTTCTGTATTTATAATATTACGCAGCTGTCGCCGACATTTGAATTGCAGCTGCTCTGCCGATTACTTTATTCCGTTGCCAACAAACCGTGCCGTGAAATTTCTACAATCAGTCGAAATCCTTTGTTGTTTCGCGTAGAAATTTTCGACGAATTTCGTTGCAGTTTCAGCCGAGCCAAAGATTACTTTATTACTTGACTTTGGAAGTTTAATATAGAACAGAATTTCGTTATAAAATTCTATCTTTTCGTCGAACTTTTTAATCCTAATTAAACATCTAACGTTTGCTTGAATTTTGCTATCGATTTTCATTGGAATTTATGAACTACAGAGGGCTGAAGGAGATTAAAGGGAGATTTTTATTTAAAATGGTTTGAAAATTTATCTTGAAGGTATTTAAGTTTTTTGGTTTGAGTTTTAGTTCGTTTTAATGGGGTGCTTTGATGATGGAGGATTTGTAAGTTATGTCAGACTTTGTAGGTTCAGTTAGGTGAGGTTAGTTCGTTTTAATATGGGTGCTTTGATGATGAAGGTTTGTAAGTTATGTCAAGCTTTATAGGTTAGGTTAGGTGAGGTTAGTTCGTTTTTAATATGGTTACTTTGATGATGGAAACCTTGTAGATTATGTCAAACTTCGTAGGTTAGGTTAGGTGAGGTTAGTTCGTTTTTAATATGGTTACTTTGATGATGGAAACCTTGTAGATTATGTCAGACTTCGTAGGTTAGGTTAGGTAAGGTTAGTTCGTTTTAATATGGATACTTTGATGATGAAGGTTTGTAAGTTATGTCAAGCTTTATAGGTTAGGTTAGGTGAGGTTAGTTCGTTTTTAATATGGTTGCTTTGATGATGGAGGCTTTGTAGATTAGATTAGATGAGGTTAGTTCGTTTTTAATATGGTTACTTTGATGATGGAAACCTTGTAGATTATGTCAGACTTCGTAGGTTAGGTTAGGTAAGGTTAGTTCGTTTTAATATGGTTACTTTGATGATGGAAACCTTGTAGATTATGTCAAACTTCGTAGGTTAGGTTAGGTGAGGTTAGTTCGTTTTTAATATGGGTGCTTTGATGATGGAGGCTTTGTAGGTTTGTCAAGCTTTGTAGGTTAGGTTAGGTTAGTTCGCTTTAATATGAGTACTTTGGTAGTGGAGGCTTTGTAGGTTATGTCAGACTTTAGTGGTTATATCAAACTTTGTAGGTTATGTTGAAAAAAGTTTACTATTGAATATACTTTATTTTAAATTGATTGTGTTGTTATTGATAACAAGAGAATGATACGATTGTGAGTGATAGAATTATGCAGTTATGGTAGACAGTTGTATAATTTTTGAGAATAGTGAAATTCTGTATTACAAAAGGATGGTAATTATGCAATTTTTAAATAATAGAAGATTTATGCAATTTTAAAAAATAAGAGGATTATACAATTTTAAAAAATAAGAGGATTATACAATTTTAAACAAAATAAAAGAATTATACAATTTTTAAAAAATTGAGGAATTATGCAAGTTTAAAAAATAGGAGAATTATACAATTTTAAATAATAGAAGATTTATGCAATTTTAAAAAATAAGAGGATTATACAATTTTAAACAAAATAGAAGATTTATGCAATTTTAAAAAATAAGAGGATTATACAATTTTAAACAAAATAGAAGAATTATACAATTTTAAAAAAATAGAAGAATTATGCAATTTTAAAAAATAGAAGAATTATGCAATTTTAAAAAATAGAAGAATTATACAATTTTTATAAAATTAAAGAATTATACAATTTTTGAAAAATAGAGCAATTATGCAATTTTAAAAAATAGGAGAATTATACAATTTTAAAAAATAGAAGAATTATACAATTTTAAAAAATAAGAGGATTGTGCAATTTTAAAAAATAGGAGAATTGTGCAATTTTAAAAAATAGAAGAATTATGCCATGTTTAAAAGATAGAAACATTACACAATTTTAAAAAATAGAAAAATCATACAATTTAAAAAAATAAAAAAATGTCTTGCACTACAGAAAAATTAGGTTAGGTTAGGTTATACCAACTTAAAATTTTTGTCCCCTAAATTACTGTCCATAAAAACACATCACTACAATAACATACTTTGTTAAAAAAAAAATGTGACTAAATATCATATCATTATAACTAAAGATTCTCTGAAAATAATTCTTTCTACTAAAAATTCTTTCTACTTGATATATTTATTCGATATATAGTTAATTTTGAATATCACTCTCAATGTTACCCTAATTAAATATTGATTACATCCTGACTAATTAGCACAAAATTAATGTACGTTTCAGGTCATATACCATGGTGGCATGAATTGGAAGGAAATCTTCTTCTGATTGTTATCGTTGCTGCAGTGGTTCTCATACTTGTGATAATAATCATCTGCGTGGCTATCTTCATCATCTGTCGACGCAAACGCAACCAGATGAAATGTAAGTTGCAATCTGTTTCTTATTTTTTATTGTCATTGTGATTTGTTGTTCACAACGATTCGCATGACGTAGATCGTACATTTCCTTCAAGATTACAAACCAGTCAAAAAAGTAATTTAAAAATTTACAATAAAATGACTTGTGTCAGCAACGAAATTAATTAAAAAATTTGCAATAAAATAACTTGTATGAGTAATAAAATTAATTTAAAAATTTGCAACAAAATGACTTGTATGAGTAACAAAATTAATTAAAAGATTTTCAATAAAATGACTTGTGTGAGTAACAAAATTAATTTAAAAATTTGCAATAAAATGACTTGTACAAGTAACAAAATTAATTAAAAAATTTGCAATAAAATGACTTGTATGAGTAACAAAATTAATTAAGAAATTTATAACAAAATGACTTGTATGAGCAACGAAATTAATTAAAAAATTTGCAATAAAATGACTTGTATGAGTAAAAAAATTAATTTAAAAGTTTGCAATAAAATGACTTGTATGAGTAACAAAATTAATTAAGAAATTTGCAACAAAATGACTTGTATGAGCAACAAAATTAATTAAAAAATTTGCAATAAAGTGACTTGTACAAGTAACAAACTTAATTAAAAAATTTTCAAGAAAATGACCTGTATAACCAACAAAATTAATTAAAAAATTTGCAATAAATTAACTTGCACAACTAATAAAATTAATTAGGGAAACTTGCAATTGATTAAATAAGCAGGTAATAAAATGAAGAGAACTGCAATAAAATCAAGTGATCAGGTAATAAAGTTAATAGAAGTAGTAAGTAATTAAATTAATTGTACAAATAAGTGATGCAATTAATTAAATAAGTACGCAATAAAATTAATTGCATGTGTAATTAATAAAATTAGTTGGACAAGCAGGAAAATTAATTGGCAATCGCAATTAATGAAATTAATCGGATGTTCGACTTTACTGATACATTTTATGAGTAATTGTAATCTTGAAGGAACTAATTAATATCGATCATTTATCGTACATTCGGAACATGATACTCTTTTTAATTTATACACATATGTATCATCAGTCGATAAATATGCATTGTTTTAATGGTTTTATGATTCAATTTTTGAACTCATACATATTTAAATGCTTGAAATTGTTATTTTGAGTGATAAATAATTAATTCTGTATTTATTGAGGATCGGTTATTAAATTTGTATCACGGTATATTTAATGGGGCAAAAATTAGTCTGAAAAATTAACTTGCAAAATAATTTGAAAGTTATTGCAAATATTATTATTGACAATATAAGTTCCATTCTGTTAATTCACAATTGCAAGTTTAATTAACAATTTCAAATTTGTCTTGACATTATAATAATTTTTAATTTATAATATTTACAATGTTACTATAATTTTGAAATTATAAGGGTATATAATTTTGACCAATGTTTGATATTTAAAAAATTGCAAAATGTTAATGCATATTTATCGTCGCCATCGTTACAAGATCTACAAATCACTGAAGCAATGATCAAGTTAGAAAAGTGATAAAAAATTATAATAATTAATTAAAAGTGACAATATTTCTGTGCATAGCAGACCATATGTTCTTTTTCAAGCGACAAGATCTCGGTTCGTTGACATTCATTCACTTTCATTACTCATGTTATTTGTCAAAGCGTTGTCCCATCAAAAATTGCTGCAAATAAAGAACTTAGTTTATACAACAAATGACATGTATTTGTAAAATGACAACGACGTACGCAATATTAACCCTTTCGTTAATAAAACTGACTATTATTGTTAAATGAAATCTTTGGAAATGAATTTTGATTGACTAGCTTAGGTAAATAAGACTTAACTTAATGTAGCCTAACCAAATGTGACTTAGACTGCCTAATCTAACCTAACTTAATTTAAATAATCTAACACTGACCTCAGTTAAAATAAACTGATTGTGCCAATCTGACTTTATTTAATTCATCTAAGGCTGACCTAACCTAGAATAAACTGATTAAAGAAACCTAACGTGATTTAATTTATCTTAAACTGACCTAACCTAGATTAGACTGACTAATCTAACCTAACATAATGTAAATTATATTAAAACGACCTAACCCAAGTTACAATGTATAATCTAACCTAACTCAATTTAATTTATCATAAACTGACTTAACCTTAGGTAAACTGACTAACCAAACCAAACCTAATTCAATTTATATTAAAACGACCTAACCTATGTTTGAATATTTAATCTAACCTAACTCAATTTATCTTAAATTTACCTAACCTTGGTTACCTAACAAACTAACTTAATCTAACTCAATGTGATTTATCTTAAATTGATCTAACCTTGATGACTTAATAAATTAATTTAACCTAACTCAATGTATGTCATCTTAAATTGACCTAACCTTGATTACCTATGAAACTAACTTAACCTAACTCAATACAATTTACCTTAAAGTGACCTAACCTTGAGCACCTAACAAACTAAATTAACCTGACTCAATTTAATTTATCTTAAAGTGACCTAACCTTGAGTACCCAACAAAATAACTCAACCTAACTCAATATAATTTATCTCAAATTGACCTAACCTTGATTACCTAAGAAACTAACTTAATCTAACTCAATGCAGTTTATCTTAAAGTGACCTAACATTGAGTATCCAACTAACTTAACCTAACTCAATGTAATTTATCTTAAATTGATCTAACCTTGAGTACCTAACAAAATAACTTAATCTAACTCAATATAATTTATATTAAAGCGACCTAACCTTGAGTACCTAACAAATTAAGTTAACCTGACTCAATTAAATTTATCTTAAATTGACCTAACCTTGTGTACCTAACAAAATAATTCAACCTAACTCAATGTAATTTATCTTAAATTGACCTAACCCTAATTACCTAGCAAACTAACCTAATCTAACTAAATGTAATTTATCTTAAATTGACCTAACCTTGATTACCTAACAAACTAACTTAACCTAACTCAATGTAATTTATCTTAAATCGACCTAACCTTAATTACACTAACTAATCTAACCTAATAATATATCATAATATAACCTAACCTCACTTATCTTACCCTAATATAACCTAACTTACCAACTCAACCTAACTGCTACATTTTTGCATTATTAATAAACAAAAATAAAATAATAAAATAACAAAGTAGACTAAATTGAAAATACGGAATAAATTTCTCTAATTAAAATTCATATCCAAACCTAACTTAAATGTGATAAGTCAAAGATACGTTTCACAACGAAAGGGTTAATAATTACCACAGCGACATTCTCGAACGAGACTTCACAGCACGATACCGTTTCACTTAATGACTTAATAACAGTAAACTCCCAGAAGCGACATCTGTATTTTTCGTACGTTGCATGTTGCTTAATCCGGTTGACAAGAAACGTAAGCTGTTTGAGAATTGAAAAGCGATCTTCAAGTACGGATCAGCTAGCTGTTTCGTACATTCATCAAGATCCCTTGAAGTAGCGTCGTCGCGTAGGGATGCTGAAGTTTGTTGCTAAAGTTTCCCAGTTATTTGATGAGACAAGAGTAACCACGAAACATCGGGACGTTATCCCTGTACAAAGTTAACGTTGACTGCCATTCAAACTGGTTGCAGACATTGGATCGTTCGTTGTTACAATGTAATAGGTTCTTGGTTCGGATTACGATTCCCGCGCTCTAATTACATTTAAAATTATAGGTGAGATATGTATATCAAGTACAACTAACATTGTATGCAAAAATTTTCATTTTAAGAGAATATTCTTTATCGCCGTTTTGCAATTAAGTATTTTGTCATTTTTCAAACAAGGTTACTGTGTGACATGATTCGTTATATTGCCACGGTATATTTGGTCAAATAAGAATTTCGCAATGGAATGCGTTATATTGTCTCGCATTATATCGCCGTGTAATAGATTGCAATACGTTAAATCAGTACGTGCTATATTACCACGCGTTAATTTACCAAGCATTAAATTTACTACGCGTTATATCGCCACGCGTTAGAAATTACTGCGCGTTATATTGCCACGCGTTAAAAATTACTACGTGTTATATCGCCACGCGTTAGAAATTACTACGCGTTATATTGCCACGCGTTATATCGCCACGTATCTTATATCGTCACGCGTTATATCGCCACGTATTATAAATTACTGCGCGTTAAATTGCCACGCGTTATAAATTACTATGCGTTATGTCGTCACGTATTATAAATTACTACGTGTTATAAATTATTACGCGTTATATTGCCACGCGTTATATTGCCTCGGGTTATATCGCCACGCGTTAAATCACCATACGTGACATTACGACGCGTTAAATCGCAACGCATTACATTTGCTACGTTAGAAATTACTACGC